GTGTATTAGGGTTGAGAACCATTGGTTAGGAAAACACACACTATGAATTTTCTTACATCTCATCTCCTTCTTGAGGAATATTTGACAGAACAACATTACATTTAGAGTATGGAGAAATGTAAATTTTATTTCTTTGACCAGCAGATTTAAAATCTGTAAGTTAAAGAACATTAAAAAAATAGAAATTCTCCCAGGGAGGGAAACTATCCTTCTTCATCTTTTTACTCCCAACACACAGTGAATTATGTGGCATTTGATAGATATGCAATAAATATTATTTGCATGGAATTAAAAGACAGAATCAAGTAAGTAGACACTGCACATGATTTAACTTCTCATGAGCTGTGCCAGAACATTAAGACCTTTGTTTTTCTATCTCTGAAATACTCAAGGCAAATTATAATAGTAATACTAATAATTATAAAATGCTGATTTCTGTTGTCTTCTGATAAGCAGAAAGGTAAAGGATGGACTTAATTGACTTGCTTTCCCTTGTGATGGAAGGCAAGTTTGCACGTAGATCACATAAATGAATTTATTTACAGGCTGTGTGATAAAATAACACATCATTGGATAACTGATATTTCTTAAGTCTTACTACTCAAGACAGATGGTTGCCATTCATCAGTCTCAATTTTGGGTCCATTTTACTCCAGATAGTCTGCTCAACTATGTATTATTTTTAGGTCAGAAGTTTAGATTTCTTTATTCCCAGTGCCAGTGTACCTGGTATTCGAAAGAGATCATTTTGAAATTATTTAATTCCCTGTTCTTTCCCGAGGTATTTTTGACCCTTTATTTTTGCATTAGGAAGACATCTCGGGACCTCTGCTCATTTCCCCTCACCCTTCTCCACATCTGCCCAAGCGGTGCAGCACTGCAGCAGGCTCCTGAAATTTATTTGAAGGTTTTATTAGTGGTCTTTAGTATTCTTTCTTTGAAATGTCAGCTCACGTCAGTTAGTACCACAGTTTGCTTTGACAATAAAAAGAATGGGATTTATCCCAGTTAGATACCCGTTGTTCCTCTCCACTAGTAAAGAAGAAAGGAAGTAACAAATTTAAAAATGTATTGCTTGCTTTCTAGACAACAGAATTTTGAAAATAATTTCTCTGTAGCTAGGCTTTAACTGTCCTTGGCTGTGGGATACTTAGGTCCCAGAACCAGCTAGTTGATTAAGTTAAAACAAAACAAAAAATCAGGGCAGCTCATCATTAAGTTGGCTCTAAGTTCCCATCTTAATTAAACATTAAAAGTAATTGATAGAGGTTTTGATTCTTTGCCTTCAGATAGGTCAGAACATCTGATTAAGAAGTTCATGAAGTTTTCTGTGAATAATAAGTGCTTTTAGTTATTTGTAGGCAGACAGTTTAGTTCCAAAATTTTAAAGTCATTTGTTTGTAACTTGTAACAGTTTCCCAGAGAATCTGGAAGTTAGATTTGTTGGCAGGATACAAAATTGGGAGCATCCCAAAGTGTTGTATGAAGAGAACCTAACCTCTTGCTGTAGAACCTGACAGTGTGCATCTTTTCCGTAGGAAAAGCCATGTGCTGAAAACAGTCACCATCACATTCCAGATGCATGCCTATTTGAGGCTGAATATTAATGACTAAATGAGGTAGAATGTGTTAAATTCATAGCCAGTCCAGTGCCTGGTGAATGGTAGGCACTCCTTAAATATTATTATCGTGAGCATTGCTCAGCAAGCCTATGATGAATTGCTCCTAACGTGATAAATGATACAGTGACTGCAGCTAGAATGCATTGATGGGCTTTGAAATGCATATCATCCAGGACAAAATTGCCTTGCTTTCTGCTCTTTTCAGAGCATCTTCAAAGTCGTTCTTAATGGCTTACAAAAGTTTTAACACATCTGTCAACTTGTCACTTGGTTTTTATCACACTTGAGTTTCCTTTTTTTGCTCATTGCACTAAAAAGTACGTGGTTTGCAACTATTTTAAATTATAATATATAGTTTTCAATGCATTGCATTGCTTTAAATGGTTATTTCCTAACACTATTCAATATGCCAGCAATGACATGCTCAGATGGATTGGCAATGTCAAAGTAGGAGCATGTAAAAAAAATGGAGCACTTAATTGGAATTTCACAGTGATTTCCACATAAACCAGCTTAAACAAGGTGTATTTATGTATAGAAATCAGGAACTGACTAATCTCCTGTGTAAATATATGTGTGTTAAAGAGGTGATTTAAAATGGTGAAGAAAGTCTACACAATAGACGTGTCACATGTGGTTCTTTAGCCACTAGAGTTGGCCTTGTAGATAGCATGTCATTTTGATTACAGCTTTACTATATGAAGAGGGTAATATACTGAATTATAACAAGTTGTTCAATTACAACTCTTTTTTCTGGCTAAATTTAACACTAAGATATAGATTTCAGAACCTCATTTATCATGAATGAATTTAATTGACCGCTTGTCTGAAATGAACCATCCATTTTTTTACCCTTTATTTTTCCTGTAGTGTTGGCCTGAGAACGTGTTGGCTAGAGTAGTAAAATGTGTAATTTGTACATATTCCATATCATTATTTTAATAGTATCAGTAGTACTTACTTTCTACACTTTATATTGAGCAAATATATTTTTTGTGTATCTCCAGCTATCATGATAAATGTTTAATTGCATGTATGTAAGTGCAAGATTTCTGAGTCTTTATCTTTTATCTCAATTTTTAAAATGCCAAATAACACAAGAGTCATAACTTAATTATCTATAGAGTGTTTACTTTGGAAATGAAATAACTTAGCTAACAAAATGCTTGAGAATAAACATAATTAGGCAACTTTTATTCAAAGAATATATTTCCATTTTTCTAAGATTATACTCCATTTGTTCATAGAAATAATGGAAAATATAACTCTGCCTAGACAATGCCATGCTCTTGTGATATAATTTATGATGTTAAATATAAATGAAATGACTTATCATTACTGTGATGGTGTTGTAGTCAATATTAGAACCACTTTTGATAATAAAGTTAAAAGGCCCTGGCCAGTGTGATTCAGTTGGTTGGAGCACCGTCCCATACACCAAAAGGTTGTGGGTTTAATTCCCAGTCAGGACACACACCTAGGTTGTAGTTTGATCTCCAGGGCACATATGGAAGTCAACCAATTGATGTTTCTCATTCATTCATATTCTCTCTCTCTCCTCCACCCCCTTCTCGCCCTCCCTCCCTCCCTCCTTCTCTGCCCTTCCCCTCTCTCTAAAATCAGCAAACATGTCCTTAAGTGAGGATTAAAAAAAATTTTTTTTAAATTCTATTGAACTTTTTGCACATCGAAATAGGTATTTTTTAATACTTAGTTGTATTTTCAAAACAGCATTAAGAAAAATATTCTTATCTGAAAATCCAGATATTAAAAAAGAAAAACATTAACATTGACTGATTTCCATTATATTATTGAAAAAAACTGCATTTATGATTAAGTTTCAATTTGAAGGTATTAAGGAACCTGAGACTATTAAAATTCTTATTGGGAAAGAGACTTATTTTGATATATCCTTCAAAGGCATTGGCGAAAATAAACACATGCTCATCAGTTGATTAAAATACAAGTCTGAAATTACTGTGTTCTTAAAAGAAGGTATGTATTTGTATCAAAGTAATATTGACTATATATAATTGAGAAAAGAGTTGCCATTGCATAGGAAGGGAGAGTAATAAAAACATTTATTTTGAAGTCATGTATTAGATTTCAAGGTCATCTGTTATGGAAGATACTGTATTTCAAGGTGTGTCAGGGGAACAGGGAAGGGGTTAATTCCCAATCCTCATTCTTTACGTAAGAAGATAGGACGTTTTCTATTTCTTAGGTTTGCAGATCATTTATTTGTTTATTCAAAAGGTATTGACTATTTAGAGTGTGCCAGGTACTCTGCTGGTTATGCCTTGGTAAAAGGAAATTGCCCACCTTCAGGAAATCTCACCCATATTTATATTATATTAAACCTCATTATATGAAAGCATATGGTACATTTAAGGTACTTAACCAAAGGATGGCGTATAGTAAATGCTCAATAAAAAAGAGCTATTAATGTTCTATGACATCCTTTATAGATATTTTTCATCTACTGAGAAACAGAGTTTTAAAATTTCTTTGTTTACAAGTATAATGATAACTAGCCCAACTGTATGTATTGAAAATATGAGAAACAGCATAGTGTAATAAAATGAGCAGAACAGAATTATAGGGCAACTCCCTATACTATAAACATGAATGCTTTCAGGTTAACTAGATTTCTCTTGTGATAAAATGTTATTACTCTTCTCAGATACTTTTAAACATGTAAACGTGATCAGGAAAACCACTTTTTGTTATGGAATTGCTCAGTAAATTCACTTATAAACTTTGGAATCCAATTATATATTTCATAGAATCTTCTGAAAAGTAAACACTAGAGGAATATAATCTCTTTTAAAAATTGAACTTAAGCACTTAACATTCAAATTGTTTCTTGGCAAGTATTATATCTAGAGCTGTGCTATTCAGTACGATAGCCTCTAGCCACATGAGTCTACTTAAACCTAAAATAATTTAAGAATTCCGTTACCCAGTGATACTAGCTACATTTCAAGTGCTCAGTAACCCTATGTGGATATTGGACAGTGCAAATATAGGACATTTTCATCACCATAGACAGTTCTTTTGGGTCGTGTTGCTCTAGGATATTTTAAGTAAAGGAATATTTGATGTTTGATAGATAGTTCTAATTATGACCACACAGAAATGAACTATTCCATTTGGTTTTGATAACTTGAATCTTTTCACCACATCATCCAAATCTTGATTAAATTATTTGGCAAGGTGCTTGACAAATAAAGGCTACTTTAAAATGACTTTAATTTCGGTAAAAGTTATAACGAAGTGAAGGCTCAGAAAATGAAGGGCTTTTACTCAATGACTTTTGGGAAACTGGAATTTTGAATGTTGTCTAAAAGAAATGGCTAATCAATGCTTTCTCTGCAGCGCCTTCCAAACCCTTTTTCCTGACTGCCCCGCCATTCTACTCCGCCTGCTGCGGTGGGTCCTGTCCGAGCCCTGCATCCCCCACTGCTTTTCCAAGTAAGTTTTTATGCTTCATCAGCAATGCCTCAGTTATTCTGTAAACCAAAGCAGCAGGATTTAATGTGCTCTGGAAAACGAATTGGTAATGCAATGGCAAGGAGCTAATTCCTCACTAAAAATCACAGCGCTCCTATTCAGAAGGCTTCCAGAGATTTATCAAACCTCAGCACACTGAGCAATTGTGAGCAGTTTCTAATGGCATTGAAACCCAGGGCTGACACTCCAAGGAAAACGACTTGTTTTCCATTTGATATAAAAGATCTCAGAGGGACCAGTTTGGCTCTTTCTGAAATGCGTAGCAGTACCCATTTAAAGAAGAAAAAAAGGAAGGCTAAAGGATTGTGCTGTAAAATTTCCATTCAGCTTAAAATGTGACACAGAAAGTCACTAGGTGTCCATAGAAAATAATTTAAAATTGTTAAGATTGTAAAAAGAAATGTATTCCTCATGTTTGTGATCTTGAAGAAAACCAACCAGTGTCATAGGAAATATTTGCAGGAGAACTTGTCCTCAAACATTACAAAATTTTAATTGAGTCCAGGAATGGTGCCAGAACAACAGCTTTCAAAAACTTAGAGTGTGCACACACACCCTCACGTAAAGAAAAAAGCCAATAAAGTTCACCTTGGCCTTCAGATTTCTAAACTAGATGGAATCTGTAGGCAGAGAAGTTGAGTTTTTGACAAGTGCAGTGGAGGAGTGCACTTATTTCAGCTGCCCGAGAGAAGACAGTTAGGCAGGTTACCCACTCTGGGGGGG